TGCCTCTCCTGTGTGATAAACACTTCTTCTATAAAGTGGATTGAAGTGAAAGGTCTGTTATATTAAAAAAGGAAGAAAACCCTCAGGGGATTATTTTAAATCCTTCTATTCTTACAGTTCTTTGTACAAAGGCCACAGCACTGCTTCTGAAATATGGCAAAAGCCTTTTCCCTCTACACTCTAACAAGCAAGAGGATGTGGCCAGATGATTTAGTTACTAGTTCTATGAGCACATGATTTTTCTTCCTTCAACATGGCATTAAGGAGGCAGACCATAGCAGGTTTCCCATAATTTCCAAAAAGTAGATTCCTGTTTTCGTCTATCATGTTCTAATGTTTTTAAAAAAGAAATACCATTTTATTTTGCTTACTGCACTGTCATTCTGAAGATGGCAAAACAGGTGTTCTTCCAATCTGACAAAGAATAGAGACCATAAATGCATCTAAGAAGCCCAATCTACTGGAGTGAAAGGATGAATGTGTGTTGCTCTTAGCACACCTACCATGAGTATATAATGACCATGTTTGGGTGACTGATTCTGTTATGGAAAAGCAGTGGAAGAATGCTGATGAATCCGTTAGTAACATAGATGTGGTCAAAAATGCACATGTTTCCACTACACTTATGGACAGTGGAGAACTTGGCTGTTGTACTAGAAGCAGAAAGTATTATGGAAATAATCTTCAGAGTTCGGAAGTGACTATTCATATGTAATGTAGTTAGCTTTTGAATAATGTGTAGTGTATGAAGTAGTTAAGAGTTACCTTTTGAATATGATGCATAACACTTTAATTAGGTGTGATAAGCAACATCTAGTTGCTTTCAGAAGTTAATTTTAAAAGCCATTAAATATATTTTTAGCTGGTTGGATAGCTCAGTAGTTTAGGTCTCTGGCTGCACACTCTTTTCTGTGTCTGTTCAGAAATATTTGGAAGGTGCCATATTCAGTACCTAAAATCAAACAAATATAGCTGCCTATGTTATGATTTTCTGGTCCCATTATTTCAGAGTTCATATTCTTCAGAGTGACAGAACTGTAAATAAAATTAACAACAAAAACCTCGAGTCTGCCCACTGAATGCAATTGCAAATCCAACCCAATTTATATTCCCTGTGGACGTACTCCATGTGTGCCATTAAAATCAGAACCTGTCAATAAATAAGGAATTAAATTTTACAACTGCATCCATTTAAAAAAACCTGGCAACTTCCTATTCTAGCCCGAGGAGCATTCTAGTCATAATATATGACCCAAAGTGGATTTAAACACCTAAACAAAACCTACTGCAAACTTGACAGATGCTTTCAATGAGGAAGAAATGCCACCTGCAGCATTTCTAGCTATTTTTACTGCTTGAAAAGCGGTGGCCTCTTTCATGTTCTGCTGATGAGACATGGGAGAGAAAGAACATGAAACAGTACGGCTCAGCTGGAGTTTACCTACTTAAAAATCCCCAGCTTACATATGCTTTAGCACCTTTTGAACTCTGTGGAACTTTTTCTGATACAACTGCTCCCAGAAACAACTGTCTGGTGCAAACACGTTTCACTGGGCTTTCTAGAGGATTCATCTTGCCACAGACCTTGATATTCAATACAGGTAAAACGATAAACAAAGCAAAGCTTTCAGTTCCTCTCATTCAGGGCTGGAAAAACATCAAAAGAAATGTTATAACATCACAAGTAGCACCAGGCAATTCTCCAGCCTTTTCTTTTGTTCTATTTATCTCTATAAAAAGAACAGGGATTTCATCAGGGAAACAACCTTAGCTGCAGGTACCTTTCCTTTGAAAGTTAAAGCACAAAGGCATTAAAAGATGACTCAGTACTATCTCCTTTCCCACTCTCTGACAGCTGTATAGCCGTTCATTAGATTTCCTTTTTAAAAAAATTACACCTTTTGTAATTTTAAATGATCATACCATTCTGTACTGTTTGTAAACTCGTCGTTTAGTTGTGTCCGACTCTTCGTGACCCCATGGACCAGAGCACACCAGGCCCTCCTATCTTCCACTGCCTCCCGGAGTTGTGTCAATTTCATGTTGGTTGCTTCGCAGACACTGTCCAGCCATCTCATCCTCTGTCGTCCCC